CGGCTATTAGGGTTCCTCGTCTCTGAAAGAGACGAGGTTTGATGAGAAATGAGAGGAGGGGGGGCCTGGTTTGGGGGGCGGGGGTTAGTTTGAACCCTTTATATATGCATGTGAGGGTTGGATCCAGACCGTTCGATCTGATGAGATCAATGGTTTGGATTTATCTAGTAAGTGGAGCGACGTCGTTTTGTTTATCCTCAAGACCGGATCAATTTTGGAGGGCACGGGTCGGGTGTGGAAGAATTGATCTGGAGCGTTGATCAAGTGAAATCAACGAACCAGATTTGAGCATGATGAAACGACGTCGTTTAATTTTGCTACAGGTGGACTGGATTTGGCCGGGTGTAGAGAAAGTTTTGGGCCTGATTTTTTGTTTAAAATTTCTTGGCCCAGATCTGATTTGCGTATTTTTCAACTCTTTCCATTTTCTACTTTTATTCCAAATTTTACACAATTCTTAATTAAATTATAAAATCAATTAACATTTTGATATACAAATTAAAACAAGTAGTTAAAAATCACAATCACTCAAAGGCATACTTAAATGACAAAATTTATAACAAATATATATTTTTTGTGATTTTCCTTCTTTCAAAACCAAACTATGGTTTATAATTTCCTAAATATATTATTTTTTATTATTATCCTTTTATATAAAACAATGATTAATTAATTCTAAAAAATGCAATATTAATTCCGGAATGCATACGCATCTACATTACCATTTTTTTTCTTAATTAGAATAAAAAATGACTATGCACAGACGAAATGCCACGAAAAAATTCAAAAGTTGCACACAAAGGAAAATTATTTGTGATTTCTTTTGGAGTAGCTCTTGTGAGGCAAAAATTACGTGCTCACAGATATCAATAAGTTACGTCTCAACCGGGAAAAGATGGAACCGAAATAATGTTGTTATCGATAACATTTTTGCTTATAATGTTGTTGTTGAAATAATGCAACAAGATGAGGATCTTGAACCAAAATCTATCAATGAATGTAGACAGAGAAATGATTGGCCAAAATGGAAAGACGCTATCCAGGCAGAGTTAACTTCACTTGGAAAACGTGAAGTCTTCGGACCCATAGTTCGAACACCTGAAGGCATAAAGCCAGTAGGGTATAAATGGGTTTTTGTGCGGAAACGAAATGATAAAAATGAAGTCGTTAGATATAAAGCACGACTTGTGGCACAAGGGTTTTCCCAAAGGCCTG